ATTGATATTTCACCGATGAAAACTTATTCGGTGTATATGATCAGGTGTAACATCTCAATGACATCCAAATAAAAAATCACGCGTGGAAAATGTTTTAAGATGTACGTAGTTGTTTGTTAGGTGTACTAAATTCAAAGAATATTCGTTTAGTTTTATTTGTTTTTTTTCTTCCTTCCAACCACCCTCTCTTATTACACATCCCCACCTAAATTCAACTACTTCGCATATATATTTTTAAGGATAAATTACAAACACCTCTAATGTATGGTTAAATTACGAAAAATCTCCATCATATTTGGATAATTACAACCACTCCTTCAAATATAAATTTTCTTACACGCCCACCCTTGCGGTATGACCAAATAATCCCTTTTCTATCTTCCGTTGGTTGTTTTCTTATATAGTAATTATCTAAACATGTTACTTAAGGGTAATCTATGAGATAAATTCTCATTTGGAACATATCTTGTTGAGCAAAAAACAGTCTTTCGACAATATTAAGTTGCATTATTGTCTACTTATCCCAAAAAAAAAAGTTAGAGTGCATTTGGATGGAGGGATTTTTTCAAATGTGTTGTAACTATATGATTTTTCGCATGTCACCTTAAATTAGTACCAATTACTTAGATCTATTGGTTGTTTCTTTTTGGTTCAACATGCCAACTGTTCTAGCTGGCAAAATTGAGAAGTGATTGTTGCACTATGTTTTTGTAGATCAATGTTATTTATGTTTATCTTATAGTTTTCTTCTAACTCTAATTATTATTCCCATTTATGTTAATCGTTTAAGCAGAAGAACGAACTATTGTTTATATTTTTATTTTCTTTGCAGAACCCAATACTCGTGAAGTGTCTAAAAGGGTCAAGAGTATGGAGGATAAAAGAATTGATAGAAAAGATTTCATGAGTGTATGAGAAAAGAGAATCACAACAGTTAGGAAGAACCACCCAGCGATGTGCAATCTTTGCAACTGCACCAACAAGGTGGGCACAAGAAGATAGCAGTAGTTGCAAAAGCTTAAAGACGGCCAATAGAGGAAAAATAAAATATTGCAGCAAATGAATGAAGAATTGGTTTATAAAATCTTGGTTAGTTTTGGACAAGAGAAACATATAAGCTTTCTCAAACTTTTAATTTGTATAAAGATTCATTGTAAGATGTATATTGTATGATTTTAAGATATGATCATTTAATTATATATGACATGGTATTGAATATATTTCAGGTATGTAATTACATATTTTAGGTTTATTGCTAGAAATAACTTTTGTAGTATATAAATTCTAGTATTTGCTACAAATCAATAGGAAAAGGCAGGGTTTGGATGCAAAATAGGACAACCTTTTTGCTACACAATATGCCGTACCAAATAGTCATGTATTTGTAACAAATCAATGGTCGTAGTAAATACTAGTTGTGCCGTAGTAAAAAAGTATTTGCTACGATAATTTTCCGTAGCAAATTTTTTGTCACGCCCGTATTTACTACGGAGAAAATTCGTAGTAAATTCGTAGCAAAAAGTCTTTTACTACAAAAAGTGGACTATTTGCTACGAATTTGAGTGGTAGCAAAAAGCATTTTTTCTACTAGTGTTTGTACCCGTTTTATCCCATTCGAACTCCACATTTTAATTTTGTGAAGCAAGATAATCATAATATGTGTTTTTTGGCTTGTATATATATCAGATAGTGGTTCATCATAAACTGTATTTTTACACAAAACGAGTACAAACTAGAGCGCATTCCACGAAATCTAGATGATTATGTTGAACTTGACACCATGAAGGTGGAGGTGTAAGAAAAAATCATAGTTGAAGAGGTAAATATAATTATCAAAACAAGAAAGATTTTTTTCGTAAATTGACCAAACCTCATAGAGTGTTTGTAATTTACCCTATTTTTAATTACATCACAAATTATTTTATCTAGATCATTTTCTTTTTTATTTTTCTCGATGTTTATTCTCATATACTCGAGATACAATACCAAATGATTCACCCCACTAATAGTTTAGACTTTAGACTTTAAGATAAATTATATTATAGCGTATAAAAAAAAATTGTGCTGTTTGCATCTCGCTGCCACCCGCTCAAAAAAAAAAAAATTTCCACGTGCAAAGCTTCAATATCGTTATCCAATGCCCTTCGATTTTTTTCCATATGCGAAATTTGAAGATTATTAAAGCTACTAAACAAAATGAAAATTTATTTGGATTTCCTTTTTCCCTATTTTATTAATGTTTTTGTTTCAGTGGTAAATTTTTGGGAAAATTACAGTTTTGGTCCCTCATATTTGCACTGATTTCACATTTGGTCCCCATGTTCACAAAAAACATATTTGGTCCCTTATGTTTCAATTATTTAATATTTTTGGTCATTTTCGTCAACTTACCGTTACTTCGTCAGTTAAGGTAGTGATGGGCACACGCTTAATTCCGTTAGTTCAAACGAAAAATTGACGGAAGTGACTGAAAGTTTTGAAGTTTTAAAACACGAGTGACAAAATGTGTTTTTTGTGAACATGGGGGACCAAATGTGAAATCGGTGCAAATACGAGGGACCAAAACTGTATTTTGTCCATAAGATTTTATTTTGAGTCCGTTGGGCCTGTAAACGCCAAAATTGGTTCACAAAATATGGCCCAAATTGGTAACAAAGCTCAGCCCGGCCCATTTCAACTTAAACACGATTTTATATTGAATTAAGTCAATTAACATTCAAATTACCGAATTTAATTAATTAAATTCGTAAAAAATTGAAAAATCATTTACATTCATGCAGCGGCGCACCACACAAGCACCGGTTGTGAAAATACGACGTAGTTTCGAGCTCCTGCAGCCTCCCGCCCACCGGAATCCGACCGCACATCCGATTGTAGCTCACATTCAACCGGTCAAGATTCAAGTCAACCAACCCGACGGGCAGGCTGCCCGTAATCCTGTTATGGTTCAAATCCAGAGTCCTCAATCTCTTCGAAAAGTACTCCACCTTCGAAAAATCGAACCGCAACAAATTCCTCGAAAAATCGGCGTAAATCAAACTCTTATTCTTCCCAAAGAAGAACGATATATCACCATCAAGCATGTTTCTAGAAACATCGATCACAATGAAATTCGCATGTTCCATTTTTCTCGGAATCTCACCGGAGAGCTGATTGTGCGACATCCGGAGATAGAAATCCTGCTGCCGGAAATCGGCGAACGACTCCGGGATTTCTCCGGTGAGTTTATTCCGGCCTAAGAACAGGCCGGAGAGGTTTTGGAGCTGAGAAAGCGAGGGCGGAATCGAACCGGTGAAATTGTTGAACGATAATTCGATGGTTTCGAGGTTGTTGAGTTGGCTGAGGAACGACGGAATGTCGCCGGAGAGATGATTCCAGCTGAGATCTAGAAATTTGAGGTGAGAGAGATTGGTTATGGAGTGTGGGATCTGGCCGGTGAAATTGGTTTTGTGTAAGATTAGGGTTTCGAGGAATACGAGGTCGAAAACGGCGGACGGAATCGGACGGTTGAGATCGGCGATTTGTAGAACGAAGACGGTGATGCGGTTGGTTTCGTGACACGAAGTTCCATTCGCAGCAGTCGGTGGCGGGGTTCCATGAAACCATGTGGTTAGACCAGGGTTCGCCGGAACGGCCGGAACGGCCGTCCCGGAACGGGAACGGTGCCCGCCGTTCCGGAATCCCTAACAAAACTGTTCTGCCCTCCCGATGCAGCGGACCACCGTTACAGTCGAGACTTAGCCGGGAAACGGCACCGGAACGGAAAAATAATTAAAAAAAAAAAAAAAATTGGGAAGAACGAGACCCTTGACGGAAGAAAAATTGGAAAAAAAAAAAGGGAAAATTGGGAACGGATAATTGGTAAAAGAAGAGTTTAAATTATTTTAATTTTTAAATTAAAAAAAGAGACCCCACTAATCCATATAATCCCTCTAATTTCCTATTAATAGGACAAAGTAACAAAAGAAAGGAAAATAGCAATCATACATATATAATATATTATTTTTACAGAAAATAACAAATAAAATTGAAGACTATGATTCTTAAAAAATAGAAAATAAATATCAAAATAGAAATAATAAATAAATATAGAAAATTCTAATATATATAATATTAAAATCTTATTTAACTTTATTTGTTTTCAATATTCTGTTACTTAAATATAATTATTTTAATTTAAAATTAATTCATCACATAATATGTTTTACTACAGATAAATATAAATATGTGTTTTTATTTTTGTTTTTAATTTTTTTAAAATCTAATTTGTGTGTATATATAAGTTTTTTTATTGAAAAAGGAAAAGAATTGAAAAAAAATTAAAAAAATAAAATATAACAAAGCCCATGTTGAAATGTTTTTTATTGTATTGTAATGTTGGTATTAAAAATATATTTGAAATAAATTATATTTTTTAGCATTTTAATTAAAAAAAATCCGTTCCGACCGCACGGAGCCGCGACGGGACCGCGATATGGCAATGGAACTGGAACGGCAGTGTCCGCGACAGCCGACTGTTCTGTGCCGGCGAACCATGGGTTAGACTTAGGACTGTTGAGGTCTGTTTTTATTTTCAGGAGGGCTTTTTTGTCATTTGGGTGGCCATTTAAAAAAAAAAAATTGTTAGTGAATGTATTATTTAATATTAATTCAAGACAATGTGGCCAAAATTGGTAACAAAGCTCTGCCCAGCCCATTTCAACTTCGACATGATTTTATCTTTTCCTGCGTTTTATGTATCGTCAACAAGAGTTTCGAATTCAAATTACCGGATTTAATTAATTACACTAAAACCTCCACAAATTAATACGCGACAGATTAATAAACTCGGTTCAATAATAGTTTCTCTCGGTCCCAATTCGGTGAAAGCCTGTTAAATTATTAACTCGATAATTTAATAATTCACTAAATTAATAGAATTTCTCTAGTCCCGACTGTTAATTTATAGAGAGGTTTAACCGTAGATTCGTAAAAATCGAAAAAATCATTTACATTCAAGCAGCGGCGCACCGCACAAGCACCGGTTGTGAAAATACGACGTAGTTTCAAACTCTTGCAGCCTCCCACCTACCGGAATCCGACCGCACATCCGATTGTAGCTCACATTCAGCCGGTCAAGACTCGAGTCAACCAACCCGACGGCCAGGCTGCCCGTGATCATGTTATGGTTCAAATCCAGACCCCTCAAGCTCTTTGAAAAATACTCCACTTTCGAAAAATCGAACCGGAACAAATTCCTCGAAAAATCGGCGTAAATCAAACTCGTGTTCTTCCCAAACAGGAAGGAAATATCCCCTTCCAGCCTGTTTCGAGAAACATCGATATCAGTAATGTTCGCATGCCCCATTTTTTTCGGAATCTCGCCGGAGAGCTGATTATGCGACATGTGGAGGTAGAAATCCCGCTGCCGGAAATCGGCAAACGTCTCCGGGATTTGTCCGGTGAGTTTGTTCCGGCCTAAGAAAAGGCCGGTGAGGTTCTGGAGCTGCGAAAGCGAGGCCGGAATTGAACCGGTGAAATTGTTGAACGATAGTTCGATGAGTTCGAGTTTGCTGAGTTGGCTGAGGAACGGAGGGATGTTGCCGGAGAGACGATTCCAGCTCAGATCGAGAATCTTGAGATGAGAGAGATTGGTAATGGCTTGTGGGATTCGGCCCGTGAAATTCGCCTTGTGTAAGATTAGTTCTTGGAGGAATACGAGGTCGAAAACCGCGGCCGGGATCAAACGGTTGAAATCGGCTTTTTGCAAAACGAGGATGGTGACGCGGTCGGTTACGTCGTCACATGTCGCGACGAAGTTCCAGTCGCAGCAGTCGGTGTTCGGGTCCCCGTAGATCATGTGGTCAGGACTACTGAGATCTGTTACAATATTGAGGAGGGCTTTTTTGTCATTTGGGTGGCACCTCTCCGAAATTGCCATATTGGAGAGGATAAATTAAAGAAGATGAGCACAAATATGAAACCGCACTGCATTGTTGTGGCCATGTCTGCAATATAATTTGGAGCTTTGAATATAGAAAGATGAGAGAGAGAGAGAGAGAGAGAGAGAGAGAGAGAGAGAGAGAGAGAGAGAGAGAGAGTATAAAATAGCCTTATCATGTAATAATGTGTAGTAACATGGCTAATTGGGCAGGCACTTTGGAGCTATATGCTTTGTGTGTACAAAGCACTTGACATAAAAAAATTGAAAGACAAGAATCATGTAATTCAAATTTTGCAAGGTAATTAATTAATTAATTAAATTGAATATTCATTTGCATTTTTTCAGCAACGGTGGACCACACAAACACATGTTATGAAAAAACGACGTAGTTTCAAACTCCTGCAGCTGCCCGCCCACCGGAATCTGACCGCACAGCCTGTTGTAGCTCACATTCAAACGACCGATATTCGACTTAACCAATCCCTCGGGCAGCCTGCCCGTAACCCTATTATGGCTCAAATCCAACGTACTCAAACTCACCGGAAAATACTCCACCTTCGAAAAATCGAACTCCAACAAATTCCTCGAAAAATCGGCATATATCAAACTCTTATTCATCCCGAACAAGAAAGAAATATCCCCTACAAGCCTGTTTCTAGAAACATCGATCACCTGAAAATCCACATTTCCCAACCTACTCGGGATTTCTCCGGCGAGCCGATTACCGGACAAGTCGATATAGAATTTCGGCTGCCGGAAATCGGAAAAAGATCCCGGGATTTCTCCGGTGAGTTTGTTCCGGTTCAAGAAGAGAGTATTGAGGTTCGGAAGCTGCGATATTGACGCCGGGATAGAGCCGGTGAAATCGTTGTTCGACAAGTCGAGCGATGTTAGGGTTTGGAGGCGGCTGAGGAACGAAGGGATGTTGCCGGAGAGATGATTGAATCTCAGGTCGAGATATTTGAGATGAGAGAGTTTGGTGATCTCTTTCGGGATTTCTCCGGTGAGATTCGTCGAGTGGAGGTACAGTTCTTCGAGGTATTCGAGGTCGGAAACGGCGGCCGGGATTGGAAGGTGGTTGAGATCGGCGAGTATTAGGTTGAAAAGGATGATCCGGTCGGCGGCGCCGCCGCATCGGACGATGTTGTCCCAGTCGCAGCAGTCGACGAGTGGGTCCCAGTCCCACGACGAGATGAGGTTGCTGTTTGGAGGAGTGTTGAGGTCTTTCTTGATTTGTAGGAGGGCTTTTTTGTCATTTGGGTGGCACCTCTCTGAAAAGAGTTAAATGCAAAAACACCCCCTGTGATTTTCCTAAACACCAAAAAACCCCCTAGGTAAAATTAAGTGACTAAAACCCCCCTGTGATTAGTAGTCAAAGTCATAAACCCCCCTCTATCTCATTCGTGTCATGCACGCGCTACCAACGCGACTGCTGGTGCGTTTTTTGTGTGAAAAGACGCAAGTGCCCCTCTAAATCTCTCTTAGTTTTTCCACCATTTTAAACAAAAACAAAAGAAAAAAATCACTAAATATAAATGAAATAATTAAAGAGAACAAAACACAATAAAAAAACAAAAAAAAGAAAAAAAAGAAAAAAAGAAATTGGAATTTCTTCCTCCCGTCAAACTGACCAACCCCAAATTCATCTTCTTCGCCCATTTTGTTGTCCGACATCGCCATCTTCTCCGACGTTGCCCAGCGACCGCCGCCGCCGCTGCTGCCGCCGCCGCCGCCGCCGCTGCCGCCGCCGCGAGTTCAGATCTTCTCTAAAGTCGTCGCCAATCGAGGTCCGGCGAGCTACACTTCGCCGAATTCTCCGACGAATAGCAAAGCCCATCGCAAAATCCTCTCAAACACAGCTGCCGTTGCAGCCGCCGTTGAGCTATGAGCTGAGAAATTGAAATTGAAGTGTGCGTTGTTTTTTTTTTTTCAATTGGAGAAGAGGGCTAAATTGAAAGTGCTAGGGACTAAATTGAAAATTTTGAAAATTTCATTTGAGTCATAAAATTCTAGAGGTTGAATATATTTATCTGAAGGGCATTTTTGTCTTTCTGCAAGCGGTCAACAGACAAAAACAAAAAAGGGTCGAGTGTGCTTCATTGAACACTTGATAGGGGGGTTTTGGTGACTTATTTTTTCCCAGGGGGTTTTTTGGCCTTTAGGAATTACACAGGGGGTGGTTTTGCATTTAACTCTCTCTGAAAATGCAGTGTTGGAGAGAAAAAAGAGGATGAATATGGAACAATGGAAGTAGTTCATGGCCATGGCTGAATAATTTGGACTTTTTTTTTTTTGTATAAAATGGAAATTGAGATGGAATGTTAAATAAATTATGGTGGAGGATGATAATATTGTTATTTATGAAAGTCAACTCAAATACTACAATTCACGTGACTTGAGAATTCCAGCGGTTTAAAAGTCAACATATAAAACGAAAACTTTAATTTATTAATGTATCATTGTTCGGCGTTTCAGACTCGTTTTGTATCGATCACTCAAAATATTTACCGGATATCTTATGGGTTATTTTTCAAATTGTAGAAAGATAGAAACTTATTTGAACAGCAAATTTCCAAATTAAATATTTTTATTGTTTCCCTAATTAATGATCAATTGATAATCAATTGAATGTTGATAATAATATCTATTGTGATTTGTGAGTATATTTATATGGAAATATATATAATATATTAAAAAAGTTATACGTAAATAAAAATTTATATATATTTATATAGCATATTTATAAATATACTTCTATACTTTTAATATTTATATATTTCCCAAGTTGCATGATAAACTATTTGCATGTCCTTTGAAATTAAATATAACCTATGGTAAACTCAATAAATAATAATTTTATCTTTTTTAAGGAAATATTTATTTATAGGTGGTACACAGTCATTATTCTAAGTTAAATTTAATTGCATCTAAACCCCTTCAACCTTGATTTTTTTCTTTATTGTGATTTATTTGAAAGGGTAAATTCCACTATAACCCCTCGTACTCGGTCCGAGAATCACTTTACCCCTCGTACTCTCAATTTTATCGATTTACCCATTTGTACTTGTACAATTTTCCAATAAAATCCTCTCCTTCATTTTTTGTCGATTTTGACTCTGATGTCGTTTGGCCAACTCTGTAAATTACAAAATTGCCACTGCCTATACCGCGTCGTTTCTTCTCCATCAATATTGTCGTTTCTTCTCCATCAATATTGTCGTTTCTTCTTCTCCCACCACTTCACTTTCCAGGATATCCCCAAATTGAAGCCCTAACTCAGCAAAAATCAAGACCCAAAATTGATCGATTCCACCCAGTGCAAAGAAAAAAATACATGAATGTGTGAAACTTTATCTTTTCTAATCTCGAGAGTCAAAATCGAAAAAAATCAATATTTACCTCAATATTTTGACTCTTGACCAAACGGCGTCAGAGTCAAAATCGAAAAAAGTTGACGGAGAGGGCTTTATTGGGAAATTGAACAAGTACATGAAGGTAAATTGATGAAATTGAGAGTACGATGGGGTAAAGTGATTCTCGGACATAGTACAATGGGGTAAAGTGGAATTTACCCTATTTGAAACTAATACAGCATGTAGATGTAATTCGAATCATTTACACTTGATCAATGGTGCACCACACAAGCACTTGTTATGAAAATACGACGTCGTTTCAAACCCCTGCAGCTGCCCGCCCACCGGAATCTGACCGCACAACCTGTTGTAACTCACGTTCAGACGGTCAAGATTCAAGTCAACCAACCCCACGGGCAGGCTGCCCGTAATCCTGTTATGGCTCAAATCCAACGTACCCAAGCTCGTCGGAAAATACTCCACCGTCGAGAAATCGAACCGCAGCAAATTACTTGAAAAATCGGCGTAAATCAAACTCTTATTCTTCCCAAACAAGAAAGATATGTCTCCTTCGAGCATGTTTCTAGAAACATCGATCAACTTAAAGTTCACTTCGCCGAGTTTCCTCGGAATCTCGCCGGAGAGATGATTACGCGACGCGTAGAGAAAAAACTCCCCCTGCCGGAAATCGGAAAATGTCGCCGGAATTCCTCCGGTGAGATTGTTCCGGTCCAGGAAAAGAGTGTTGAGGTTCGGGATCTGTGACAGTGACGCCGGAATCGAGCCGGTGAATTGGTTGTACGATAAATCGATGGAGACCAGGTTTTTGAGGTGGCCGAGGAATGAAGGGATTGTGCCGGAAAGATGGTTCAAGCTCAGATCTAGATATTTGAGCCGAGAGAGTTGCGTGATGGCGCGTGGGATTCCGCCGGTGAGATTCGTTTCGTGGAAGTAGAGTTCTTCGAGGAATACGAGGTCGAAGACGGCGGCCGGAATCGGACGGTTGAGATCGGCGAGGAGGAGGTTGAAGATGGTGATGCGGTTGGTGGCGCCGTCGCACTGGACCACTTGATTCCAGTCGCAGCAGTCGGTTCGTGGGTCCCACGCGGAGATGAGGTTGCTGTTTGGAGGACTGTTGAGGTATTTCCTGATTTCTAGGAGGGCTTTTTTGTCATTTGGGTGGCACCTCTGTGAAAACGCAGTGTCGGTGTGAAAAGAGAGAAAAAAGAGAATCGATATTATGAAACAATGGAAGTAGTTGACGGCGGCCATGGCTGGATAATTTTGAATTTCAGATTCTTTCTTGCATTCACATCATCACACGTGTATTTATATAAATAAAATATGTAGAGGATATTATTATCAAAAAATAAAAAATATGTGGATGGTATTGTAAATACATGAACTTAACTCCACCAAGCATTTTTGTGATATGTTTCAGCTTTGCATGTGTACGTGGACTTTCCTCCACCCTTGCATGCATGGATAAGAGATGTGTCATTTAAATTGGTTATGCATTTGATTTTAGTTCCTTTGTGCTTGCTTCTATGAAATGCCAATGGATCTCCTCTTCAACGCGGGAAATGCGAACGGCCAAAGTACCTGCAACGCCGGGAAGGGTTCTCGGCGGGAAAACTCAGAGGATCAAGTCAGTTGAGGGTAATGATGGTTTTTCTTTATGTGTATATTATCGTCTATTTTCATTAGATTTCAAGAGAGAAAAATAACTCATTTTTATAGATGTCCAAATCCCCTACTTAGAACTCCAAGATTTCCTTATTAGGGTTTTTTCCTCAATGGATTCTTGGGCCCAAAGTTTATAGTTGGGCCTTCTGGAAGTATCTAATAGACGTAATTCGTTTTTTCCTTATCTCGATGCGTGCTTCTCCTAAAAACCTGTATACCGAGGTATGGATTGCCGCATCCCTATTAGGCCGAGCTTCGAGCTAGTTCCTCGGTCCGGACCAGAAAATCCGAACCGGTCCCAGAGTCACTTAGGCCGGACGAAGTAGTCTATATCAACTACTTCCCCTTACTCCCTACTTGTAAAACAAACTTGTTGTTTTTCCTCGTTTTAGAGTATGGAGTATAAATACTTTAGTCATTTCATCTTTTCTTGTACACATGTCATGCTTGCATTGGCGGTCCCCCACGGCACACATAGGCGATTGACATGCTTGATGTCATTATTACAACACCTCAACGGGTTCTTTTTTGATAGGATTGAGGCATTCGAGCTAGATCTCAGCCGCTCGTTTGAGTGGTCATGATTGATTATATGTTTTTCTCTTTATCTATAAATACTTCCCCTTTACAAAGTTTCAAAAAAAATTCTTTCTTTTTTTTACTCCCCCTTTCTCTTGCTAATATTCTTGACGATTTGCCTTTTTGAAGGAGCTTTACTTGCCCAGAAATTCAATTCACCGAAAAAGCTATTTCTCCCTTCTGTTTCCTTTTTTTTGCCATTTTTGCACATGTCTTCTCATTCTTCCGAACCTTTTGGGCAAAAATTACCTCATTGCCAATCTTCCGAAGGAGATGACGAGAGTTCCGCTACTGCTATCTCATCTAGCGAGATTATGCCGATCCCGTCATCTTCGGAGGAAGGACCGCGGTTCTCCTCTTCTAGAAAAACTCGGATTGTGGTAAATAAGAAAATATCTGTGGAAAATGTGTCAATTCCGGCTAAGAGTGGTTCTCCCATGCCGTCTGAGGGGCGAGACCCTGATGATCAATGGGGAGCTAGTACTCTTAGCCAAGCAGACCTCTCTAACTTAGTTCGTGACATAGGTTTGCCTTGCGATATTGAACTAATTTTCCCCTATAGGAACGACCAACCTCTCAACCCTCCTCCGGGCTTTAGCACTTGGTTTTCAGAGCAATTTTACTTCGGTTTATCCTTCCCCATTTTTCCTTGGTTTTCCGAGATAGCCCAAATCTGTGATGTGTCTTTGAACCAATTCCATCCCCATGCCATAATTATTATGACCGGTTTTCGCACGCTTTGTGCTTGGGCGGGTATAGTTCCTAACCCATCTCATTTTAAGAGTGTTATGGTTCTCAAGAACTCCGCCCTTTTCATGTCTCGATCTCGGCTCGTCCGAGCTACAAAGTCCCAATGCCTCCGAACAAAACAGATGGATGGCAGGGGCATTATTTTTTTGTTAGAAACCTTGTTGATGCCCCTTATCTACGTCATTGGGTCGTCACTCTCCCCGAGAAAAAGAAAAGTAAACCCCTCCCTGTTGATGATTGGTTATTGAAAATGATTACTCATTTTCAGCCGAGCTACGGCCTCCCTGATACTCTTACGAGTTTTCTGCCGATACTTCGTCATTTCAATTTTCATGACAACGGGACGCGCCCATTAACTCGGGCAGATCTAGGTGGGTATAGGTGTTGTTTGTTCGTTATTGTCACATATACCTCCTTTTAGCGATCTACATATGCTTTTCTTTTTTCTGTTCTCCTCTCCTTTCCCCTTTTTTTTATCATTGCCCTGTGGTGATTATTCCATTGATAGTCTTACTTTTTATTGACAGATTTAAGAATCAAGAGGATGTTCACAGGTAACAAACCCGCAACTCGCCCTACCGGACATGAGCCGGGCTTTCATTCTTCTAACTTCTAGCGTCCCTTGGCGGCCGACTCCGGAAGAAAACCTTGGAAGAAGTCACCACTAAACCCAAAGCTTCTAAGAAGGCTTCTGGGGTCGTCCGTCCCCGAGGTGGGGTCCGTATAGATGACTTAGCTTTTTCCTCTCCTTCTTCAACTGCCTTAGTGGTAGCTTCCTCCCCACCTCCGCTCGCCACTGACGAGGTCCAGGGAAAGGGCCTTCTTCGAAGAAAAGGAGGACCGAGCAGGCCCTTGTCCCAGTGGGCCCTCATCCTCTGCCTGACTTTGCACTGCATTTGTGTCAGAATGCTGAGAATGCGATTACCACATGCCGAGCTATTGCCTTTCCCCAAGATCTGGCTTTCTACCGCCAGATGAGCAAAGGCGATCGTTTGGAACTATTGATGCATAACATAACCCAGGTAACTCAAGTTTCCTAACCTCGCTTATTTTTCCCCATTGCATAATTTTTTGACTTAGCTTCTTAATTCTATCCCCCCCTTTTTTTTTTTTTTTTAGCAATTTGCTATTGCTTTTTCTGGTCCCTCGGGTTGGGACGACGTCTCTCGTGAGGCTTACGAGAACCAGAAAAAAGAAATAATCCAACTCCGAAAGGAGGTCCGAGTTCTTAAAGAAAGCTTGGCATTATGTGAGTCCTCTAAGATGGCGTTGTTCGCTGACGTGATGCGAGAGCAAGAAGAAAAGAAGATCCTCCAGGCCGAGAAAGACTCACTGTCGTCCCAAAATGCTGAGCTCGAAGAGAAGTTGAAAGTACTCACCAATGAACTCTTTGAAGCGGGGCTGCAGGTTCTTCTAATTTTAACGAGGGCGTGAAAGAGGGACATCGGCTCTTCCCGGGATCGTCTGAGAGTTTTCACTTCATGCAGGAGTTTGTGCGGCGGTTCTTCTATCGCCTTTGGCGCTCTATCACATTCTCCCGAGAAGCGTCCAACTTGGCTCGCCATTTCTTCTCTTCGGCTGTTACCGTTAATCATCAGTTTCAATCTGACAAAGATGATTACCTTCGCTTTATACTTAGTATAGATAACATGTTCACATATATGGACTTACGGACTTATGGATGTATGTAGCAACTTCATTTGCACCACTTGATTTATCTGTTCAGCTCAATTTAATCGACTCGTTTGCATACTTCAACTTGTTTGCTTGGCTCGATTTAACGACTCATTTATATAGCTCGATTTAATGACTCTTTTTGTATATCTCAACTCATTTGATTGGCTCGATTTAACGACTTATATGTGTAGCTCGATTTAACGACTCGTTTTGTATATCTAAACTTGTTTATCTGGCTTGATTTAACGACTCATAGCTCGATTTAATGACTCGTCTTGTATATCTCAATTCGTTTATCTGGCTCAATTTAACGACTCGTTTTGTATATCTCAACTCGTTTGACTGACTCGATTTAAAGACTCATATATATAGCTCGATTTAACGACTCGTTTGTTCGATATTGTGAGCCGACTTGTGAGTTCGATGAGCCAGCTCGAAAAAAGCTCAAACTCGGACTCGAGTTTTTTGACGAGATGAGCTCGAGCCTGTTTTTAGTTGATCATGAGTTCACGAACAAGCTCGTGAGCCTTATTTATTATTATTATAATTATTATTATTATTTTTATTATTTTTTTATACATTATTTTTTATTTAAATAATTTATAATAATATAAAATATTATAAAAATAAAATATAAATATTAAAAATATATATAATTACAATTTATTGTTTATTTTGTATTTTTAAATAATTTTTAATAATAATTAACAAAAATATTTATAAAACAAAATCGGGCTCGAACTCAAGTTTTATCATGCCAAAAGAAACAAGCTGGGCTCTTTCACACCCCTAAGTTATATCATGCATTTAATATGAAAATTGCAAATTAATTATCTGAAATGCTAATTGTAGCGGGACTTTTACTGAAATTGGCTTATTTGCAGCGGTAGTCTCATTTGCCAATTTTCTAACTTTCTAAAAAAACTGAAACGCTCTCAACTAAAAAAAATCGAAAACTTAGAATTTGAAGCTCGTTCGACAAATTCAAAAACGAACAACGATTTCTTCAATTGCTGGTCCGAATAACTTTTAAATGGTAAAAAGAAAGAAAAAAAAATAAAATTAAAAGTATGTTTAATCGTGCTATACAGCACGAGAAGTATAAAAAATGGGGAAAAGATTGAGTTACCCGTGCTGTGCAGCACGGGAACTTGGGTTTCAATTTTCAAACTTATTTAAAATAAAAAATAAAAGTATTATTAATTTTCATATTCCTTTATATTATTAATTTTTTTAATATGGTAAGGTGACGATGGTGATTTTGACGAAAAATATGATGATCAATGTACAAACGAGTACAATAATCCGAATATGTGTTATCATG